GATTTTTGAAAAATTTTCGGAAATTTTCTCAATACATGCAACTCTATCAATTTCTGACGAATTTTAATCATCTTTTTTTTATTTTGTTCATTATATTTTAAATTCTTTTATGGAGTTTTCAGACTTTTTATTATTATGTGGGATATTTTATGGGACAAAAAAAAGTCTTGGGAACCAACATTTTTAAACGATTTTAAGAATTTACATATCACCCAAAAACTATATTTTATTAGATTATAAATATTAATGGAAATATGCAATTTCGAACATTTGAAGTGCAGTTACTTAGGACAAAAAGCCACGTTTTCTCGCTAGTTTTCGAGTATTTTTGTGTAAAACACCCAGAAATGTCGGAAATTTACATGATCTACATTTTGTCCGGATACTTTTGGCAGGTGAGTGTATTAACCCCCTGTTTTACCATAAATGATATTCGTTTGGATTTACTTTATACATAAACAATCGATCTTGCTACGATCATGCGTATATTATATACAAGTATTGTATATAACACTATTGGGATGTTCACAATGTCATATAAGAAATGCGCACATTTTGTGATTACTAAAAAAATTTTTATATTAAATAAAACAATAAACAATGTTCATATGCCAAAATTTTGAATATCTGGTCCATTTAATAAAATCATTAAATGATTATTCAATGTATTAATATTCATTTTGTTTCTCAATTTGTTTTTTATCAACTTCATTTCTGAAAATATTCTTTCTACATGTGCATTAGAAGTATAAGGAGTGTTATTTTAATAATATTGTTGAATTTGGGTAATTGAAAGAAGATATTGCTTAGTATTTCTTATATAAGAAATTTTTTAATAGTAAAAGATAGTTTTGAGAGTAAAGTATAAATATACATTCATGGAAATTGTTATTACGATTTAGTATAAATAAATCAGAAGAAATTGGATTAACATTGTTGGCATATCATCATAAATAAAATCTAGAGATTTGTGTGAGACATGGATTTTGATCTCACAGTATTCAAAAAAAAAAAAAATTTATTATTAAAAAATCAATAATAAATAATAAAAATATTGCACAATAAATTATTGGCTGGATTAAATGTAACACAAACCCCGCACTCAATTTCCAACACACCACATATTAAACATATACAAACTGACCCGTCATCTGACTTTAACTCAATTGGTGGCCACCAAAATCGATTGTCCAACAATATTAACAATATATTCTAATCCGCTATCCTCTATTTTATATACTGTCAAAGTAATTCGGTAAAAGGTGAAGTAATTCGGAAGTTAGATGAGAGAAGTATTTTCCAAACATTCAAAATAAATAAATATTGAATTCTTTTTTGTTATAACAACTCAATCATAAAAAAAATTTTTAGTACGTTTATAAACAATAACTCTTAAACTTTGAAAAAATATTTATAGTTCTACAATATGAAGAAACAATCACAACATGTTTGGATCTACTTGACCAAAGAATGGTAGGAATATTATTATTATGTCTCATCATATTAATGCAAGTGTGTTGAATAAATGTGCAATATAAAGAAACGATCATAACATTCTTGGATCTAATAGACTGAAGAAAGGTGTGAATATTATTATTATGTTTCATCATAGTTAATGTGTAACAATAGCAAGTGTGTTTGAATGAATAGGTATCTTATTAACGATGTAATATTTGAAATTTTTCATTATGCAAAAAGGATTAATAGTATTATAATTAGATGATACATTGAGTAATGACAAGGCGCAAGTTCAATGCAAGCTATTAAAATTCTATAAATATTTTTTTTTACGAATAAAATATTCAATTCAACGTGGGATATATTTTATTTCTCAAGTTTGATATAGAGATATTATATATTTGTGTTGCTTCAACTATAGGCGCATTTATTACACACATTTTTGTTATTATGATGGCGATAGAAGTTTACAATCTCCTCCAAGCATCCTATTTACTTCCAGCATATGTTTCTGGAGGATTTCTACATAAAATTTGGCATCCATTATCCTCCTGAAGCAAAATAAACTTGTTTTTCCGACTACGCAAAATCCGCCCCATGCAAAAACTTTTGTGTGATCTTTGGGCATGGGACGAATTGGCCGCTCACCTTTGTACCAACGTTCGATGGTGTTTCGGTAAAGTTGAAACGCGGTTTCATCAGAAAATAATGTCTTCCTCCAATTGTCATTAAGGTGCTGACGTGCCCACTCAACACGCCTTTGCTTATGGGCTTCGGTTAACATAGGTGTTTGTTTAGGCAATGCTTTCGAGTACCCATAAGTGGTCAGGTGCCTCGAAATTGTCATATGTGACACGTCAACACCTGTATTCGACACTTTTCGAGCTAAGGTCCATGTGGAAATTGAGTCATTTCTCCGTATTGATTGTCCAATCATCTTGGAGGTATTCCCAGTTATTTTCCTGGGCCGACCATTTCCTTGTATGTGCTCCACCGTCCCTTTTTCTTTTATTTTTTTAATGTTATCATAAATAGTAGACAATGGGATGTTTGTTCGGCGATGAATTTCTTGGCCATTGTGAATGCCTTCATTCCACAATTGTAATATGCATTGACGTTGTGTTTCTTGTTTAGAAGCGGGCATTGTGTTTGTACATAAAGCAAAAAGTACACTAAGGTTCAGGGTTGTAAACAACGCTCAAATTTACTCCTGATTATCATGTTTATTTTCCATTTTATATCTCTCAAATTGGACAGAAAACAAATGCGTGAGACGCGTTTAAATTGCATAAAAAAATATCTGGTTTTTTTTGTTACACACTGTATATATATATAGCTATAAAGAAATACCTCTATAATAAAACTCCACAGGTATTGACATATTAGAGATGCCACATGTTTAAACAACAATCTATGCTTGATTTTACATCTAATGGTAGTGTCTCATCTGTGATTGTATTGGGAAAAAGTTATTTTTTAATAAAGTCAAGTTACTATTTAAAATTCCTTCGCTTCTAGTAAAAATTTGTGAAAATTATTTCATTAGAGATGCCACAAGTAGAAACTATACATTTTTTTTAATCTCACATATAATTACGAAGTTTATTTGAAAATTATTATCTAAACAATTTTTTTGTTAATTGAAAACATGATTTTACATATACAATCTACTTTAAAATTATATAGTTGCACAACATAATTTCAAGATTGTCACAAAGTGATAAATGTGATAAATCGAACTTCCATCATGCTGAAAATGAGACTGTCATTCAATATCCAATTGGTCTGATTGTACCGAATCATAATAAGTTTTTAGTTCAACTAACCCAACTTTTAATGCACCAAACATGACAAAAATATTTATAAGATTATCATGACAGCATAGGATAGGTACCAAAGGTATCATGGGAGCATCAGGAAATTTTCCCCGCCACAATATTACATCCATAAATTTTAATATATAAAGTTGTAGTAATATTTGCATAAAATTATGTAATATTTACACTTGATGTAATAATTGCATAATTTTTGCATGCTTATTTGCATAATATTATGGGCCCGCCATAAACTTATGTAAATAGTGTAATAATTATGTAAATCTGTGTCAGAAAAATTTCCTGATGAGTAAGAGGCTCAATTATAATTTCTTCCCCCAAAACAGCACCAGAGATTCCAAGCCATGGCCCAGCAAGATGCAAAAGGAAACAAGGATTAAGATATCTTTCACAGTCTGGCACTATTGAAATATATTTTCCATAAGAGCCACAAACTTGTCTGTGTGGATCACCTCCTCCCATTCCAAGTTCATTAATTGCTTCTAATATCAAAAGAGCACATTGACCCCCTCCAACAGTACAATTATCTGTAATTGAAAATGGATTCATCTCATATCCAAAAAGGTCATGCATCATATCTTGAAAAATTTCTTTTCTTTTATCTTCAATATGATAAACCTTTGCCAAGTGTTCAAGATATTCTATTACTCCACCCTCTCCACTTGTTTTATAATCTCTAATATCAATTTTCTTTGCTGAAAGTTTACTTTTGAAATTTCCAAAGATGTGATGACATATAGATATTGGAATTTTTGAACCATTTGGTTGGTAATTGCACATTGCATCAGGATCATATTCACATGTTTTAGAATAAGTTGATGGTAGTCTCATATTTACTACCTTTGTTTTTGCTTGGATCCATGTATCTTCTCCTATTTTTGAACAGATTATTAAAATACTGTAAAAGAAAACATCAATATAATTTCAAATGGTAAACAAGAAAATTTACCTTCAACTTTATGTTTTATTCCTGGAAGAAACAAGCAATAAGAAAATGAAATTAAGATATGTAAATAATAAATGATGGGAAATTGTTAAATATACTCAAATAATATTTACCTTTATTTTTCTCAACACCTCCTGTAATACCAAATAGAAAGCAGTAAATGGACAGAAACAAAGAGGTATAAATTAGTCAAAGTTGTATACAATATACCAAACAAACAAATAAATAAACAAAATGGAATAATTTTTTTACACAATTTGTTCATTACCTTTCCCTTCTCCACCAAACTCTCTTAACGCCTTTCCCCACTCCTTCACCTGCTCCTTCCAGTCATCCATGTTCTTCTTAATTCCTCCTCCTCCTTCTTTAACTTGACTATTTTATCTTCCCATCTTTTCTCTTGTTTTTCATCCCTGTATTCTCCCTTATCTAACTTCTCCTCCAACTTGTCTGATCTCTTCTGTTTATTCCCTTCTTCAAACTTCTTCAACTCCTCTTCTGCCTTTCTATAATCTTCTCTTGCTTTATTTAATTCACTTTCGATTTTCTCTTACATTGCCATTTTTTTTTTAGAATTAAAAAAATATTTTTTTATTGATTTAGATCATTACAATTAATTGTTTCTATAAATAATAATTTGGACCAATGATAAATTAGTGGGCACATGACTTGCAATTAATATTTGTATTTTCCTCGTTTTCATTATCTTCGTAATCTTCACTCTCCGCCTCTTTCTTCTTTTCCTTTTTGACACATTCCTGAATTGCTTCTATCGTTTTTCTTCTAGGATTGGTTTTCGTTGATAGAAGTTTTTTATTGTGGAAGCAGCAACTCCTTTTCCATCTCCTAGTAATTGGCGAATTTCGATGACCATTTCATTAAATGAAAAATCGGGATTCAGTTCAATCTTTTTGTCAAATAATTGTTTGTAATCCTTCCATAGATGTTCGATTTCATTTGAATGTTTTTTATCACTAGTAAGTTTGTTTATTTTATTTTTGAGTTGACTCTTTCTTGGTTCTATTTTATTGATTATTTGATTGTTTTTAAACCAAAATAAAATTGTTTAATGATGATTATTAGAAGAATTTGTTATTTGAATTTTTTTACCTGAAATTAAGTGAATTGGTAATGTTTTTATAATGTTCCAATAAAAGGCGAGATAATTTACCTTGTTTCAATGTCAATGAGAGAAAAACAAAGACTTATAAAACATATCCTTGAATGTAGTAGAATTTGTTCAAAACTCAAACAATGGTTTTTTTTATTGATAATAATATTGATGTTTTTGGTAGGCTCGTAAAATACACATAATTTTGGAAATTGTATGACCATTTAATAAAGCTCTCGCCAAGTTTCATAAAAAATTTTTTTTTATTTTTCAATGAAAAGATCTGCGTAAAATTTAGCCAATCATTTTTTGGTTTGTTTTTTCTAGAATTGGAAATCTTCCTGACTGTAAATATATAGTAATAGTATTAGTAATAGTAATAGCAATAGCAACAACAATAGTAATAATCCGTAATGTTTCAAAAAAAATAGATATTAATATTTAATATATAAAAAAATTTCATGTAGGCGTAAAACTTTAAAAAATGGTTTTTTAAATTGATCTAAATTTGTAAGTTTCAAATTTATTAAAATTTGGATTTTTATTAATAAATAATAATTTTAGCAAAATACGGCACCAAAAAAATTTTTAATTATTTTTTTGGAGTATAAGGAATTTTTTCTTTAGGAAGGGAAGGACCAATCTGTTTAAGATTAAGTTTGGCCAACCAGTGACCAGCTTCAATCGATTCTTCGACACTTTTACCTTCAATAAATTGGCTTAGAAAACCGCCGACAAAAGCATCGCCTGCACCATTTGTATCAACAATTTCATCATCGGCAATAGTATTAACCTTAAATTCATGAACCCTATCCTCATTCTGATATGCAAGGATCGTTGGCGAGGAACCTTGTGTTATAATTACAATACGTTGACGTTTTGTATTGACTTTTGGCAATTTTGCAATTTTTAACGCTATTTCTTTAATATCAGTTTCCTACAGTACAAGTGAATATAATGAATTCACACATATACATTATATATATATAATAAAACAATTATAAGACATATTTGTATTACCTCCCAACCTTCTGATTTGGCAAATGCTTCTGCTTCAGCTTCATTACTAAAAAGAAGATCCCAATATGGAGCAAGATCATTTAGAACTTTTTTAAATGGGGGAACTGTCATCAAAAATACTGCAGATAAATTCATTGCAAAAGCCTAAATAATTTATTATTGTTAGTATATATTGAATTTTAATACTAATATAATCACAAGAATATAATTTTTATATACTTTATTGGTTTCGGCAGCATGTTTAGCAACTTTTTCAATTGACTCGGGTGAAACAGTTACGAAGAATCCCGCAATATAAAAGTATTCTGCGTTTTCTACTATTTTCCATTTTTCTGGTAAATACAAATGTTCAGAAGGATTATATTTTTCTGCTGCTGATAGATTAGCAACCAATGACCTAAATAACAACGATAACAAAGATTGATTGACATTAATAAATTATTATTGTTGTTGTTGTTGTTGTTGTTGTTGTTGTTGTTGTTGTTGTTGTAGCATTTTTGTTATTGTTATTGTTACTATTGTTACTTTGTTACGATTATTATTACCATTATTATCGTTGTTACTATTATTTACCTATTATTGCCGGTAATAATAGCACCGCATGTACCGGTGGGAACTTCTTTGTTAATTAAATAATCAACAACTAGTCCTTCTGCTTCAGCTACTTCACGCATTCTTTTAGAAAATTCATCATCGCCGACACATCCAAAATATACTGCTGTTTTGGGTGGAAGCAAGTACTAAAATATCCAGTCCATTTAAAAATTTTAGCCAATTAAATTACTTATTAATAAATAAACAAAAAAAAATACCTGAACACCACGAGCAGCATTCTGCGTTGCGCCTCCCGCAACGTAAACTGGTTGATAATTTTTAACCAATTCCTCGTACAATGGTTTATGTTTTTCTTCAGCTAAAATTTGATCATTTGGCTTGAGACCATATCTTTTTATTATCAATCGATATTATTATTAGTAAGAATAAACGAAAAAATTAATTTTATTCATCTAATTAATTAATTACTTTTTGAGTAAAGATTCGTCAGCATTAACTTGAATATCCAATAAAGGATTACCCATACAAAAAAGCTTTGACATTATTTTTTCTTATCGAAAATTTTTTCCAAAAAAATTAATCTTTTGTGAAACCTTTTTTTTTTGATAAATTTAAAAAAAAAAAAATGCAATTT